AAAGTTACAGCACTTCCTCTGACTTATGTGTCTGACCTCTTTGACATGTCTGTCTGCCCCATGTAACCATCAATTTCTCTAAAATATCCCAAATTTAAGGCCCAATCCAGCTTCCACAAGTCAGTCACTTGAGCAAACTCAACAAAACCCTCAAAAACTGGAAGGCTAGGGTACAAGATAGTACTGTAAAGCTAGTGCCAAATACTAGCAGTGCAACATCTAAAAATCAGAGAGACATGTTTTGCTGGACAATGGGTAGGGTGCGGTGGGGTAAGAGGGGTTCTATTTGTTTAAATTCCAGAAATTCATGAAGCTTCACCAACTGCAAAATGATGCCCAAAAAATAACCAAACAAAAACAAAAACTGATTTATTAACTTTACTTCATTTCAGCAGGCTAGGTCATTGCAATGCATTATAAACCTTGTTTATTGCACTCTCTCTCAGATCTAGAACTATGTTTATTTCAGAAATTATCCCTCTTGACTGCAAACTGGGAAACTAAACGTTATATTTAAAAAGTGGTAAATAAAGCTTAAATGGCTTATCATGCCAATAAAGAATGATGTCCCATAATTTGAAAACCATAATGCAGTTAAAGAAATGAATGATTTAAGGCTGCTTCTTTAGATCACCTGTGATAACACATTAAAGTCAAAGCTCTATACGTACAACTAAACAGGAAAAGCAAGCCAAGAATCTTCATTTGGCAATCGGAAAAACAAACATGTTTTGCGGTTTTATTGTTTACTTTTTTTAAGATTTCATTAAGAACACAAGATGAAGTAAATATTTTAGGCAACCAGAAACAAAATGGGAAAATACCATGTGTTTGGAGTTTTAGTGCCCTCTGAGTGCTGGAATTTATTTGCAGCAAGCAGAAAATAGACAGCAAGCATAAAAATTCAGCAGATTCCCGCTAGTAAAATTATTTATCAAGCTAACAAGGGAGGAACCCTTCTAGTAGCAACAAGCCAACAAGAAAAAGACGTGCCTTTATATTTTACCTTTGGGTTAGTGCACCAGTAAAAATGCCAACTGACAAGCACTTCACATAAACATTTCTTTCTAAATGAGCTGCCTTGTTAGAAAAAAAAAATCTAAGCAGAGGCACACTACAGTCAACAGAGAGAAAAATCCAGGATGAATGCAGTTTTGCTCAATAGTACATAATATAAATAAAGACATAAAAATAACATGGTTATCTAAATGAGTTTAATAAATTAATACTTCATTTTATATTTGAAATAACAACTACAGCTATAAATCCACTTTAGTGTTTGATTGTACCAAAAAGAAAAAAACACACACATCCTGGTAATCTATTATTTAGATATTTCTCACCTCTGGAAAAAAATATATAGAAGTATACACAGTACCGTTGTTAACTGTGTTACACAACCCTCATTGCAATATTTATTATGGATTTATTTTATAACTGGAACCCTGAAGTCGGTTTTACAGTTTAGTTTCACGATCCCAAACGCTGATTATAAATTATAAATGGCTTAACTGTAGCCTGAAGAGACAAAAAAATTTGGAGACACATGGATCGCCTGATCCTAATTAAAGTGTAAAGAAATAGTAAAGTGACACATCCTCTGAATAACTGCGCTCTGAAGAGGACTGCAAATTATTCCTGTTGGCTGTACAGTGAGGCTGCTCCCTCATAAATGTTCGTTCCAGCGATGGACTGTTAACAATTTCAGCAGGCTAAAAAACAAACAAGTCTAAATGGACTGTTAACAATTTCAGCAGGCTAAAAAACAAACAAGTCTCAAAAATAATCCAAGTTTTTTTTTTTTTTTTTTAAATGGTTTGGGGAATCCCCCGAAATCAAACTCGCTATTTTATTTCAACCTGTAACTCAGGAAGTAAAACCTGCAGCATCCGTAGCCAAAAATGGAAACTTGCAGACTGATTTATGAGGGGTTTATGAAGGTTAAACAACATTGCTGGCCTGATCCCATATTTGTTACTTAGAAGCAAATGAAGCCAAAAAGGGTAAGACATTTGAACCAAATCAGGGGAAGAAAGCTTGAAATACTATTTCCTATTTGCAAACACCATGATTTTTCCTTGCTTCTGGAGACCCTCACAACACTGGGTGAGTTATCACAAAAATCTCCTTCTGAACTTATGAATGGAGCTGTTTTTAGCCTACCCAATGCATTTCTTGTGCTTAGGCCGAGAAAGTCTCCAATTCTAAAATGACCCCTCCTAGGTCTGATCCTGTATTTCTCATGCTCTCCAGCTTCCTTTTGGAAACCATGTGCATTTAGAATGTGCATGTAATATAGGGCTGAGCTTTGGAGCTTGTTAACTGCTGATGGATTGCATTAATATGAATATTTGTCTGTAGGGGACAAAGGCTTTTGAGAAGTGAGTTCAGCATCATAGGCAAAACATCAGCAACAACAAAAAAGGGGAAAAAGCATCCTGAATGCAAACTATGAAATAAATAATATATTTCAACTTTTATGTTGCTTGCCTTTCATCTGGTACCGCTGACATTATGATCCTGTTAAATTTTTAGCACACAGCCAACATGTAAAAACAGAGCCAAAAGGTACGATGGAATGAGTTAGAATGGCGAACGTAGAGAAGATCTCCTGTTGTTTGAAAGGAAAGAATGAGAGAGTTGATAGGCTATGGCTGTTTCTGTGAGAGAGGATTAGTTAATATATTCAACGTTGTGTTCTTGCCTTATTATAATATAATCTGAGGCCAGGTGATATGAACACCGAATTCCCATTAAGCTGAGAAACATATGGAAGTGCTGCATGCAGAACAAATGGACCTCAGTACTCAAATTGGAGTATATAGGTAGGTAGGAGTGATATCCCTGTCCATACTTGTCATGGCCCTGGTTAAAACAAAGGAAGGGAGGAAAGTAATAAAAGTGTAGGAAAACAATGGGCGCACACCTTTTTCCCCATGCCACATTGTATACAAAATTTTAAGGACAAATCCTACCAGCTTGTATTCAGAGGAGCAGTCATTACAGGAGTTTTCTACAATACCTGCCAATTGAATGAAGCTATTTTTATTACTGACTTCAAATACTCTTTCATTTTCTTTTCAGATCTTACATAGCTTTGTCTACACTACATTTAAAGCACAGCTGCGGCAGTGCTTTAAATGGAAAGTGTGGACTAGGCATGAACTCTAGGAGAAAGATCTCAAAATGCTCTATATAAACCACCTCCACAAGAGGAGCAGCCAACAACACAGCTCCTAGTACTGTACCAGATTCATATTGGTACTTTATAGTGCTGTAATTTGCTGCGTTCAGGTATGTGTGTGTGTGGGGGGGTGATTTTTCGCACCCCTGAGTCAGAACGTTATGGCGCTGTGAAGTGCCAGCGTAGACTTAGCAGTAATTAAGAACAAAGCTTATTTAAGGACCAATGCCTGCAGCTGTCAGCCCTACCTGCATTAATAAAATCCTTAGTATTATATGGTACCCAATTAAGCTGGACCAACATAAACTCTGCTTTGTTGCCAATACAATAGCTCCACCTCAAGCATTAGCCTCAGTGCAACTGCATCACCCTAGAGCAAGTGTTGAGTAGATTTCCTTGATGTAGACTGCTCACACGCACAAGAGCTGGGGAATCAGTCTTTAGATGTCCAATAACTCAGTACAATACAACCACATAATATGAAACCAGCTATTTAATTACCTATCACCGCTCACAAACGGTCTCTTTATTTTGATTACCTTTGAGAGAACAAGGTACTCTGGCAACAGAGTATGTTTAAATAATTACACATGCAAGATAACATGTCTCGAAGCAAAAAATGGTGACGAGGAAGCTAGAGAAGAAATAAACTTGGTCTCCGTTCCCAATTTAAACTATGAATGACCTCCAGGTCACTTTTTCAGAGTATCTCAGATCAATTCAATTCTCACCTCCGCTCCCTACCTGCTAGCAAATGAATGTATTGTGCCTTCCAATAGACTGAAATGACTAAAAGGAAATCGCATTTAGCTGCATCTGAATAACCATGGTTATTAGATGATGTGTGCAGAGGAAAAAAAATTACCATTTCTCTTCTCCTTCTATTCCTTTTACTTTGATTGTCATTCTCACCTCACTGGTGATTAAGTTGTAGGATGCTCTTGCAGATTGTTAATTAGGTGTTAATATCTGCAAGGGGCCATAGCAAGCTTCTACACCTGAGGTCATTACTCAGAAGTCAGGCTGTCTCCAGTGACAGTACCTGTAATTCCCATAGCTAGTTTGATTCCTACTCAACAGCTGGAGCCAGTGTTGCTTTCATGTCTGGTTTCATTTCCTATCTGAAATTATATGAGTGCTAATATCTTTATTATCTTTCCCGTAGAGGTGCAATGCTTGAGAGAGTGGCACAGCATGTTGTTCACGGGCTTTTTTTTTTTTTTTTTTTTTTACCACAGCATTTTGAAAACAATTCAAGCAAAAATCTTTATGGTTAGGCAAATTCATAGCTGAAGATTCCATTATTGGATCTGGGGAAGAAAGGAGGGCGGGGAGGGGGGGGAGAGGGACAATGGGAATAATTTTGATAGACAAAAATAAAAGCTGCACAACTGGTGAACAAAAATGGCTTAAACTTTGGGAACTAATGTAATGGCATCGACAAGAGGGGGGGAAATATGAACAAGGCAGCCTGACCTCTAAGCTTGGCAGCTGGTTACGAATGTGTGCATGCGTGAGTTAGTAAACCAATAACAAAGGGTTTTCAAGGACACATAATTTTGCTTAAGGTAATGAGTTATATTACATTTACAATTATTAAAAAACCAGTTTGGGTCTGCCTTTCAGAAAACTCCTTGCCAGCTGAGGGCCTGCTCTCTGTATTAAATTGGGCTCCCAAACCACTCACTTAGGCCAAGAGGTGAAATTCACATCTGGGCCCAGGGCATGCACCAATCTTACAGGCCACTTAAGTTCTAAAGGTTTCCATGGATCGTAAGTGAGGAGTTGTCAGAACCATTGTCTATAAATACTGTACCTGTCGTTTCTATTCCTCACCCAAAGTGATGAAATAAGGACACAAAATAAATATAAATGACAGATATTTATATATGCCATGTTGTTGTAGCCACATTGGTCCCAGCATATGAGGGAGACAAGCTTCTCACTGATTAAAACAAAAGAAGGCAAAAAGTAGTTAAAATAGTAAATGTGGAAGACAAAAAACTGGCACACACCATTTTTTCTGTTGGTCCAATAAAAGATATTATCTCACCCTCCCTTGTTTCTCTTATATCCTGGGAACAATACAGATGTGACACTGCTATAAACAAAATATTCATATAAACCACCTTTCCGCACAAAGTGTCTCAAAAATATTTCTTAATTCTCCTAATGCCCCCTAAGGTAATAATTATTAACCTAATTTCATAGCTGGGTAAAGCAAGGTATGCACACATCAAAGGCAATAGATATTTGATGAAGCCAATGGAACTGATGTAATCAACTGATTCGACTAAGGTCTCATAATGGGTTTACAGTGGGGAGACTAAAACTGTCCCCTTTTCTAAGTACTGCACCTGTTTGGAGCCATAAGAAACAATAAGAAATACATTTCACATATGATACGGCAAAGAGCTACTTTTTCAGTTTCTGATCAATGTGAACTCTATTTTTAAAACGCTTAGATCATTTGATAAATGACAAACACTGGAAACCCCCAAAGAAAAGACTACATCTATTAGCACGTCAACTAAAATTCTATGTTAGAACTAAGCAACAGTAGCAATCACAATACAGTAGTACAAAGCTGTTTTGGATCTTAGTTTTAAACTGAAGCAAAATTAATAAACTGGCCTTGATGGGAGTTTTGCCTGAGTAACAACTGCCAGATTAGGCCATGAGCCATAAAAAGCCAATGTTCTTCGATCATAAGGACACAAACTATTTTCACTCCCTCTTCAAATGAATATGGATGAGGTGGAGAGATAGGATTTCATAGTATTTATGAAGTTTATGCTTTCATCATATATAAAACCTTTATCTAGAATGTCTGTAAAATGCCCTGTAAATTGTAGATGGTGAGGGGTTTGCTGCCATTCTCTTCCTTAACATAGGAAAATAACTTCCATCTGAAACAGGGCTAATATAAAAAAGGGGCAAAGTTTGGCTACGTGCATACATACTTAGCTTCTACTGACCTCAATGGAAATTTATGACAATAATATGCCATGGAAGTTTTATGCATAATGTAGAATTTAGTACAATAAAATCAATTTTTAAAGGAGTACTTACACACCAGTGCAAACTCAAATAGAGCTCAGTCACACATACAGAAATTTAGCTGGTTACTTATTCCCTGGATTCCCTTTCCATTATATTTAACCCTAGAAAAAATGCACGTGTTTAAGACCCGGGCCTTCTATTGTCTCTACTGAAGTCATCATCCAGTGTTTGTGACATCACTGTCTGTTGCCGTGAAAACAAATGTTGATGTCACAGCTTACATTCTAACTTCAATGCAGATGAGGGCTGGACAGGAACATAGTGTGGCAAGGGGCAAGTTCCCAGTCAAGCGCAGCTTTTTAATAATTATGTGTGGGTGGAGGAGGCAACAGGAAACAAGTCCTAAAAAAAATCAAAGGAAAGGCAAATGGAGTTTGTATTTCAAGTTGTCAGTATTTAAAAGTTTTCCCTTGCATGGAAATTCTTAATGGTAACCTGCAAAAAGGAAAGGAAATGTGTGTGTGTCCTTTACATCTCCTTATTCTCACCTTAGCTTTAGAGCTTGTCTACATAGGGAAAGTCAATATCAAAACTGCACCTGTATAGTTATACCAAGAGAATAACATTGAAAGAACTGCCTATTGACACTCTTCTTCTGAAATAGAAGTGCCGTTTTCTAGTATTGTTCCAACTATCTCCAGAGCAACCTTAACCAAACTGGAAAAAGCCAGTTTTATTCCATAATAAAAGTGTCCATAGGGGGAGTTCTATACTGTGTGCATTGCCATATTTTCTTTAGATCAGTTTGGCTTCCTATGTAGACAGCCCCTTAACACATTGGCTGAAATTCTGGCCATAGGAAGTCAGTCAGAGTTTTGTCATTGACTTCACTGGGCCAAGACTTCATCCAAGATCTCTTCCTCCTCTGAAGAAAGGCAGACGAGTTGTTCCAAAAACACTCAGATAATCCCCCCAAAAGAAACCCCTCAACTTAGATAAAAGTCTGTAAAAATAGATTTATTCTTGCTGTTCTCCTGTAAGGGGAACAAAAATATTATGATGCTACAATCATCTGTGTCAGGAGAACCAAATTTGGTCTCTCTCACAAATGCATTAAAATCCCGCTGATGTCAAAGGGAACGTAGACACATATCGCAGGGCAAATGTGGCTATTGCTGTGGTGTTTTGCTCCTGGCTGCCAACTCCCTTGCTAGAAGATGGAAATGGTTTTCTACACTGAGTGAAATAAACAGGAAGGTTGGATAGTGTAACAAATACATTGGGAAAGACTGTTTCAGACCATACGCTATCCTTCAATTTTGCACAAGACGCTCACTAACATAACTAGAGGCTTTATATGTACTATCTCAAAATGTCACCTCCTAGCCATGCTGATATTTTAATTGCATTATTACTATAGAGGTATATATCAGGAACATGAACTTAGCTTCAATCCAACTCACACTGATGTCCATGCGAAAAGGAGCACAGAATTATGCCAAGAATGTATTTGCTCCATAGTCTTATTGCCTTACAAATAGCAAGAGATGTCAGTATAGTGACCGTAGCTTAATCAACAGCTATGATATGCTCTGTTTACACATATCACATCAATTGCCAGCACTGCTACAAATATGCTAGAAATAACATAAGTTCTTCAAAGAAATCAAGTTAGCGCTGAGACCACCATCCACTGCCATAGTACTAAATTCCCGTAACCGAACTGACTTTATGAGAATAAACTAAGTGAGCCTCCAGAGAGTGCCAAGTATTGGGCTTTTCATATCTAAGCTTATTATTCCTAATATCACAGAGAAACTTCCCTGAACTGTCCCTCTCCTTCCCAAATTCCCCATCTGAGCAGATGTCTCTCTTTTTCTTGCGTTCACCTGTCAATCATGTTCACAGCTGAAATTTGATTTCTCTCCCAACAGTAACCTTAGATGAAATATTACCATAGAGGTCAGTCCAATCTCAACCTGGCCATAAAAGTTCATTAATTCTTTCTAGACCCAATATCTATTTGTTTCAAAGTAGTGGGATCTGTGTTTTTAACAATGCCTAAAAGGAGAACTTCAAAATATACAAGTAAATGAAATAACAGAATCTGTTTTCAAAGCCAGGGTACATTGTGCCTATGTAAATCCTGTTACAACTGCACATTAAATGAAAATCTTTTAAAAAACATGTCCATAGATAACTGAACAAAATTAGCAGTGATTGCTCCCAGATTCTTTAAAATAAAGAACTCATGTTAGCAATGAGCTGATAGACAATATATTGTACCTGAACAGTGAAAATAAATCTTTTGGATATGTTTAAAATTCCTATTCACACCTGTGCAAGATATACAACATACTATGCTCTGCTAGGATCCATAATAAAACAAGGGGTTTGATTTTCTTCTCACAACACTGTAAATCAGAAGTAATTCTACTGATTTCCATGAGGTTACAACTGTATAACCCATCTAAGTGAGAGGAGAATCAGATCATACCATGAGTCTCTTATGACATTCTTCCCTGCCCAATCCCGCAGTCTATACCAATGCAAAATTCCCCTAAATGTCAATAAGAGATTGACTTGCATGAATTCTACAGGATCAACCCCCCCCCACACACACACACACACTCCCCTTCCCTGTTCTCTACAGTCAGCCAAATTTTAAATAAAATAAAGCTCAGTTGCACTAGCTAATAAAAACGAACAGTTCCTTGTTTAATAACACCTCTTAATTGTTTATATAAATGTCATAAGCTGTATTCTTGTCTAAAATAAGAGATTTCATAATTAAACTCACACAGGGATCTCTGTAATTGAAAAGCCCATTTAAACCGCTTAGTGTTTTTTTACTGTTGAGCCTGATAATAAACAGATCCCAAGGACCATATGTCTGCCTGAATCTGGGGGGGTGAGAGGTGCGGGGAGGGGCGGGGGGAAAGGAACGCATGCATGCATGCATAGAAGTTTGAACATCTCATTTTCATTAATATTGTATATTCTGTAAATGTGATAGACTGAATGGGTGTGATTTGGGACAAGAAGACAGCATTATGCTTCACACTCAATTGAAAATTCTGGGCATGTACATAAACTAACACAGAGATCTATCATTTTCATCAAGATTTGAGACAGATCTTCTGTTATCTTAACCTCCATAGCTCGTTTCTGAATGCCAGCATTTGAAGACAAAAAAGTAAGATGTTCTCAAGGAATAAAATATAAATTGTACAACGCAGGAGACATGCTTGGTAAACAAAAGTAGAAAATATTCACATTGCCCATGTTTCTTTTACGCACCTGAGTATGAGCTCAATATAACTTCCATGGGCTATGAAGTAATCACCTTATTAACAGTCAAACAAAACAAAAAACCTCTTTCTCTCAGTATGGAAATAAAAATAAAAATGTACCTTGTTTTTACTTCAGGCAATAGGGATTTTCACATCACTGATGTGGAAGATTCTCTTGGGTACCTAATTTAGTAAATATATTAAAATAAACAAAACATAATTAATAAAACATTTTAAAACACAGTAAAATATGTCACATTTGCCATTATTGTACAGAGCAGAACTGTTCTGATTGGATGCTGATAAAATGTCAGAAAGTCTCATGGATTGATTATTTATTAACAGATTTCTTGTGCTGATTAACTTAAAGGAATATTGTTGAAAATTAAACACTATTTTTTAAATAGCATGCCTGGCCTTTATTCACATTAATAACAGGAAGAGCTTAGTAATAGCACAATTATCTTAGTGAAACAAAAATACAGTTTTTATCTTGACAGTGAATATCAAACTACAATTATTGAAAGCATTTAGCTTCCTACAGGTTTTCTTAAATAAAAATCTTTGTTATTATTAGCTGTGCTGATATAACTGACAAAATAATTACCAATTTCAGCACATAGTCCATTATTTTCCATATAGCA